CCAGAAACTATGGTCAATGGAATCAATAGCTGCTGAAAGATCAAAGAGAAACAGTAGACACACACTCTCTTTCTAGTTCCCATCATCACCGCCATTTTGTGAATATGCAGGCTTCCCCGTGTAGCCATTTTGTGGTAGCATCCATGATGCTTTGTAATGTGAAGCCATGCAAGGGGAGCATCCATTAACGTGCTGATAAAAATAAGTGTAGCAATGTTGTTTAAAGTAACCAGTGGAGATGGGGGAAGCGCCATGTAAGATTGGGCATCCTGATCTTTCTTGGTTTTCTGTAAGTGACCAGTTGTAGATCATTGCTCTTTTAGATTTCTTTCTTTCTAGATAGACCAGTCCATCTGCAATGGAAGGCCAGCTGTGAAGGTACCTCCATACTGGAGGTTCCATCACACCTACACACATGGAAGCCATTACAGTACTCGGGAGCTTCTGTACCAAAGTCTGATTTTTTATATATATCCCAAATGGATTTTCTAGAACAATAAACCTCAGGTTTTCCTTTTACCTTGCCATGACCATCCTGAGTGATTACTCCTAATTCCTAGCCATAATTTCCCCTCGCTGGTTCGCTGGTTCGGCTCGACTCTGCTATCACAATTACCATAAATTCCTACATTCTCTGATCTACAAAATGTCGTCATCCTCCCCCTTCCTCGAATATGCATTTCAATTCAGGAGCAACACTGGAATTTGAATTCTTCTGCATTGTGATTATAGTTCTACAGGCCTAGAAACATGATGCTGAATCAAGCCACGTAAAAGTCTCCTTGGTTATCTGTTGTACAAGGATTCCTCTTGCTTAAGGTGGCTCCTCCATACAATTGCATCAGAAATTTTGTTGTTGCCATTCTTATATGTCCTTGAATTGCCTCTACAATATTTTTCTTTTATTGATCCAGCAGCACATCCATCCAGGCCAGAGGAGGGCCTTAGAGTTAAACATAGCAGGGGGAATGGCAGCAGAGCACCTGAACATTTGTGCCCTAACACCTGGCAGTACTAGGGTTGAATTACTATAAGTCAGAATTTTTGAATTCCCACAGGATTTCTGATGAAATAACATGTTGTTGACCCTAAATTACTACACTGAAAGGTAATTGAATATCTTTACATTGTGAGGTGAACATTTTCATTTCATTAACTTGCCAGTTTGATTAAATAAGGACAGGGCAGATGATTCTCCAGTTCAGAAAACAGAGAGTGCCTATAAAGCTGTGGCAACCTACCCTTTGGTTACAGATATGGAGCATCTAAATGTTGTAGGAGGCAAAACACTAAGTGAAACAAGGTATGTGTTTAATATGTTATGGAACATGCTATGTGGTATAATTTTCTTTAATTTAGCATTCTTAGAACCTAATCCACAGCATTTCCTTGCTTTTGCATTTCCGAGACACCAGTATGATTCATTAATTTAGAATGTTTATTATGTACTCCTTAGTCAAACCTCTTAAAATGACTTATAAATCAGAATGCATTAGGTTATTTATTTAACAGAATGTTTTATCATTCATTCCTTAATCAGCCCTCTGACAATGGCCTTCAATTAAAAACAATACAATAGGACAATAAATTCATAATACAACAAGTTGTACTACAGCAAGATTAGAAAAAAACCCACAGAGATAAAACCACATCCACACCATAGGAGATTTGGATGTGTTGGAGAATTAATTGACTTTTCTCATCCGCTGCCAGCATGGTGAAATGCAAAAACATAGACCTAAAATAAAATATGACACCAGAGAAAGCTCTTGGGAAAGAGATGTCTGAGATGCAGAAACACAAGTATCTATTTAATGTGCATATTTTTTCTGAATGTGACAATCAGACATACAGGCATTTACCTGGTAATTCTTCTACAGATGGGATGAGAAGTGTAATTTTTTTTCAAGTAATTTCCATGGATGGGGAAGAAGTGAGAGATTATGTGTAGGTAACAATAGGCCTCCCTAACAATAGGCCTCCCTTGTGTCATATACACCATTCTGCAAAGGCTTAAGGTCACAACCATAGATTTTGGGGTTACTTTGTTATGGCTTCAGGACATGACATTTAGACAAACTCAGAAATACCCTGGTCCTTTTCACTATTTGGCTTGCTCTAGAGTTGTTGCTCATGGTGGCCGTGATAGAATTCACACGTTACATTTCAAATTAATCACAGAGTCTCTCTCTCCTTCCCTCCATTTTTAAATTGCCATTGAAAGGTCCTCTCTCAGTGATATCACAACAGCTTGTCCCTGGGTCCTGACAACTTAGAGAATGGGATACTGCTGATCCGGCCACTATAACAAGTGTGTCTCCTTAGCTGCCACATGGATGAAGCAAAATTGTATGATGAGGGAATGTTTTGGAGCAATTTGAAAGCAATGGGAGTCGCTAGTTGGTTCCCAACCAGCTTTAAATCTTACTCCCTTGCAACATCAGAGTTTCAGGGTCAACTGAGGATCTTAGGTTCATTTCTCACCTTGTGCATTTTCCCCCCTCAGAAAATACTCCTGCACAAAGTGGTAACCAGAAGTACTTTGGCAGACATCCTCTAGCTTAATTTAATATGTCATACCAGAGTAAGGCCATTGAACCAGTGGGGATTTGGTGAATCATCTCCTCCATAAGTTCCATTAATTAAAATAGGTCTGCTCCAATTGTGATTTACTACACAGAAGTCACTTGCAACTAAAGTTGGCCCATTTGAATCAACATAACTTATTGAGGAGCTGACTTACCAAATCCCTAATGACTCAATGGGCCTATTGACTTACTACACTAAGCAACAGGATTTCGGCTATTAAGAAACTTGGTTGACAATATCTTCCCAGACCATGCATGTCCAGTGAGATAATATGTGTGCAATCATAAAATCTGTATTCATATTTTAACTGTTCCCTACACTCAAAGGGAGTAGATTCCCTGTGTGACATAGTGGATAGAGTGACAGTAGGGCTCTGGAGAACAGAGTTTGAATCTCCACTCAGCCATGTAAACTGACCAAGGGAGAATCACATGTTTTTGTCTTGCTTGCTTTGTTTGGACTTTGCCTGATATACTAATACTAGTTTGCCTTTAAAAAGAGGAAACCAGCACATTGACGAAAAGTTTAAAATTTTGTTATTAATTTTTTTGCTCATTGTTAAGGACAGTTCCTTCAAATGCAGCTTCTCCCGCTTGCTTTAAGACAACCTACCTTGTTCCTACATTGCTTTTAATGTGCTTCAGAGATTTTGACACTTAGGAAAATTTAATCAGCAGTATGAGAAATAAAATATATTAAATTTTCCCCCTTTTTCCCCCTGGGGCACAATTGAGCCTTAAATCTCTTTTATGAAGGATCATGATCATTTTACCATTCCTTGGACTTTCTTCACATTGGTATGCAAGTGTGAAGTTTTTTGACATTTCCCCCTTTTCTTTGAATTAATAATCTGTACATATATATGACCAGCGATGTTAGCTCTTGCTGCTGCTGCTCAAAAACCAACCCCAGTTGCTAGGGTTACCAGGTCATCAGCATGTCTTTCAAGAGGCATCAAAACCTAAGAACAGGGCGCTATTCCTTTGTGATTTCATAGACAGGGGGCAGCCAGGGGTTGCTTGAGAGAGAACAGATTCTGAGCCAAATGACCATGGAAACAGACACGAGATGAATTCAGGTAAAACTGAGGGAAAGCCCCATTTTTGGTACCCAGGCAAATGGCAAGAAGCACCAATAGCTACAGTAGTTGCAGCCATTCTTATTAGGGCTCATCTCACTCTCTGCCTAACCTATTGCTCATGCACTACATGGGGAATTTTTTCAAAGCCATATGTGGTGGAAATTTCACTGTTCTTGAGTGCTCCAAGACCTGGCAACCCTACTAGTAGCTGTCAGGATTAAACTTATATCTGCAGTGACAGAGATCCCTTATCGGGCATGGTAAAGATGCTGGAGGTGGCATCTGTTGAGCTGGCAGCCATGCTGACAAAGATACAATTCTTACGGGTTTTGTCAATCTTATTTTCCAAATGCAACTAATGGATTTGTCAAGCTCTTTCTGAAGGCATCTGATGCACTTCTTAATGTCTTCTTTGTCGGCAAGAAATACTGTGAGAAAACAGATAATTTCATTTCCATCTTCCTATAAAGGACTGTTTTCTCCTTTTCTTGTATTGATCAAAGTCAAATATATTTCCAAGGGCATGTGGACAAAGAGGCAGCTGTTTCCAAGCCATTTTCTGCATGCAAGAAAAACTTACACTCCTTGCAGAAGACTGAAACATATTTTTAGATCAAAAGATGAATGTGATGCATAGTCAAACACCAAGGGAATTATGCTGCATGAGCATCATTCACAGATAATGTCCTTAGGTAGTCATCCGAGAAGGCAAGTGCATTCAACAACAATCGGGCCACAAAAATCTAGACTAGATGTTTTAGTGTGAAGGTGGTCTTAGGCTCAAAACTATTTCAAAGAATAAATGAAAACCAATTGTTTATCCAACACTGTTATTTTAGACCTTCTGCTTTTTAAAACCATTTATGTTATTAATGTCAGCTTTCCTAACAGTGTAGGACTACTGCTCCCATCATCCCTAGCTAACACTAACAATATTAGAGATGCTGGTAATCGCAATCCATAAAGATCTGAAAGGGTCTTGTTGCCCGTGCTTACAGTTAAGGGTTTCTCAGTCAGCTGCAGCAAAGACATGAGGTGAGTGTTACCTGCTTTTGGCAAAAATCAAGTTCATTAAGGGGAACACTCTACTTTTCTGCACAGCTCTGAAGGTGCTTCCAGACCAATAGGCTTTTAAGAGAGAGTTTCCAGTTACAAGTGATAGTTAAATAAAATAATTTGGAAGGAGGAAAGAGTTTTGAATTTTGTTTGGAATTCTGACATTCTTCAAAAATAATGCAAACAGAAGTCCTCTGTTTCAGCCAGGAAAGAGAAAAGCCTCAGGGTGAAGGAGAATAAAGATTAAAACTGCCAAAAATTGTATTTTCCTTTATTTTTTTTTTGTTGTTGTTGTTGCAAGCTTAAATGCCTTTTTAGTCATTAGAACTCAGTCTTTATTATATGCATTTTCTTCTTTCCTCCAGTAATTCACAGGAAAACTTACATAAAAAACAAAACCTAAAACGAGAAAAGCAAACCCCCAGAAAATACAAATATACAGCAATGTTTTAAAACCAGTCAGCAGGGCTAAAATTATTTCTCAAAGGAGTGGTAAGATAGAAGGCGCTTTTCCAAAATAACAAGCAGAAGGACCCCACCTGCACCTAAGATATTACATACAAGAATACACATAAATAGAGAGGTCCCCAAACTGCCATGCTGTTCCTTAAAATTTAGAGTGACTTCATCCAGTACAGGATCAATGCCACTTTGCTAGGCACAATGGGATGTACTGCTGTTATTGACATCCTTCGAGGCCCCCAGTATGAGAAACTGCATGGGTGATGGTACTTTGATTGCATAATCAGCAGCACTCATGGCCTAAACAACTGAACCAGATGAATGATCTATCTACCTGCTGTACTATTATTGTGCATGGTTGAGGAAAAGCTGAACATACAGTTGAACTCATTTACTGAGATATAATACAAAGATGATGTAATAGAAGCTGGTAAAGTCTTATAGAAGTCATTCTGACTTGATCAGATGCAGACGCTTTTCTAATGATTCTTCTTGAGTTCCCTAGCATATCCAAAGCATCATTTTAATACAAAATTCTGTCTTAAGTACTGTTTATTCTCTTCTAAACAAGATGGCAGCAGCCATTCACAACTCATATTTTTTTCGACAGTCTTGTACTCCATGTTCAGGATATTTATGGACAACGTATTAAGACAATGTGTTGGGTGATATCATTAATTTTTTTCTTTCTTATAAATAGCATAATGTCTTCATTCGTATAAATGTATCAATCTGCTCTGTCGTCAAAACTCAGAATGGCTTACAGTTAAACAATATAACAGAACAAGAAAATAAAACAAGCAAAAGGAGAACAATACAAAATCAAAATGATATCGCTACTCAGCAATACTGAAGTCAGCAAAGGGAATGCATCCTAGTAGGGCCATTTCCCACGTTCTGTTTTCTTGCTTGCAACTCTGTAGAAAACAGCATTAAAGTGGTATCTACATTATTTTGCATGAACATATGCATATTTCTCAATGTGCACCCAAGATGTACACATGCTGAGGACCCACATTCAATGCTCCTTCCCAGAAGATGTGTGCATAGAGAGATAATGCAAGTGTGCAGCTACCCAATCTATACATGGATTGTAACTGTTCCCTGCAGAAAAGCATGAATTAGCCTTTAGACTGCTAAGATTTTTTTTAAAATCCCAGTTTCTCAGCATTTATCATTAGAAAGTGGCATATTCTTCATCAAACAAACCATGACTGTTTTTCTACCTTGTGGGACCTACCCAGGAATGCTATCATGTTGTTCTGCCAGGTTCTCTAAATTTCTTTTCTCTTGCCCCTTTCTCTCCTACTCATGCTCTCTCCCCAGGCCCTCTGTTCCTTTCTCCATGCGCAGCCTCCCTTTTTCATGTTTCACAGTAGGACAGTGTTACATACATGCCCCTCTCTTCTCTATCACTTCCCTTCCACTTTGTTTCAATTTTTGTCTTTGCCCCTATTCTGGTCCTCCTTTCTCCCTTGAAGAGGGTCAAGGGTTAAAGGACAGGGGATCTTAGGGAATAGCAGCTCCATCCCAACATCTGTGCATCTTCAAATGTTTTCACATTCAGTGCAAAGGACTGCAGGTGACTGCCAAGCATGGTTGCCCAAACCGTGAGAAATTATGAGAGTCCCCAATCGTGGGGAGGGTTCAATGCTGAACACATTTAAAATCCCTTACTCACAACTTCACCTTCAGTTCCTATCATTCTAAAAAGAGAGACCATGAGTTGATAGCAAGCATTGGATGTATGGAGTTCTGTGTTAAGGCCAAAGCTTGCAAACTACAAAAGTCCCAGCACAGTTCTAGTCTTCCTCATTAAGCTCTTCATAGAGCTTGTTGAGTTCCTGTAGCGCCTCTTCCAACCTATTAGCCTTATCCCTGATCTGGGCTGCGACATCAGCTTTGGCACCTTCCGTCAAATGTATAACACCTTGGATGAGGCTGTAGGCATCATACAGGAAAAAGAACCCAGCGGACGCAGCACTCAGCATCCTGGCTCCTTTGGTCATTGCCAGGGCAGTGCCTCTAAATGACGATTCTACTTCTTCAACCCCTGTCATTGCAGCCCTGGCCCCAATCCCCACAGCAGTAGCTTGCTGTGCCAAAGCTGTCAGTTCAGGATTAGCTCGTGCGACTTTCAATGCCTTGACATTTGCTTTGACTTTTTCCGGGGCACTGTATATGGCGACAGCTTTCTTCACGAGCTTAGTGGGACTTGGAGCGGATTCAGGGCTAAAATCAAATTCGTCAGGATGCATCACCAACCTTAGGCTCTCTTTACATTCGTCCATAAGTGCCTGTACTTTTCTTAAGTCTTGTGCATCGATGACATATTCGGAAACAGATGCTGAAATGCCAGCAGCTGCTGCCGCCGCCCCTAAACCAATCCCTGTGGCTGTCAGGATCAAACTCACACCAGCCGAGAAAGGGGCCAAGGTCAGTCCTAGGATGCTCAAGATGTCAGAAGTGGCACCTGCTGAGCTGGCAGTAATGTTGGCAATGGTACAATCTTTGTGGGTTGTATCGATCCTGTCTGCTATCTCCTGAAGGCATCTGATGCACTTTTCAAGCACTTCTCTGTGGGCTGGAAATTCTTTCTGAAAGTTGGCAAAATGTTCAACGTCCATGTCTTCCCAAAGCCTATTCCTTCCAGTTCTGCTATAAATTAAAATATAATGCATTTCAAAGACTATCATTTCCAAGATATTACACGCAGCCTAGAAAAACCCATGTGCTTCACATCTGGGAGATTCCATACTTCCCCAAAGAGAATAGCTCTGAATGATCCCTGCCTCATTTTATTTGAAACTTCAAGCCAATGAACCTCATTTTCTTTTTCTATATCAAGTCCTCAAAGTCTGGCGAGTAGCCATTTCTTCTGATCTAGAAGCCCAGGTCCCACACCCAGCTAGACTGGCAGGTTCAGACTACCAGTAGTAATGGTAGTGCCTTCATTATATAAAATACCTGCTGTAGGGTCTAGTAATAGCCAATCACGAAGTCTCCTACAGCAACAAGACACACCGGAAAGGCAACTAGGGAGGCTAACAGCCAAGTCATTTACCCAAGAACCTGGCTATGAGGCAGAGGTAAAGGCTGAGACCCAAACCAAAAACATACTACCTTGAACCCAAGGTTTTCGGCTCCAGAAAAATTATTTCACAGGAGGGACCTTCATGGCCCCCAGTTTCCTTGATATATTGATTTAAAATGAATTCCTCCAGATTTGTGCCTCCCAAATGAAATGTGGGAATACACCCCAACTCTTTTCTAATTATAAACACAAAAATTTGACACAGTGTGCTACACATGCACCACCGTTTCTAGCATCACCCTTCCCTGACCCTTCTGAATCACCCCTAAACACTTTATTTTTCTTTTACGTCCTACATCCATTCAGGTGCACATTTGTTCATCTCTCACACACAGTTGCATGCATGTATACACATATACATACACTCATACACATGCACGCACAGACACACACACACAGAGTTCCTGCAACCCCTACCGAGATACTTGCTTGTCCTGTTGTGGTCAGGAGTGGACACTGAGGTCTTTTGTCCTGGTGAAGGGTGGAGGCCGCAGCAAAGAGCAGAATATATTCAATGAAGAAAATGTATTTACTGGAAAATGATACAATTCCAGAGCAGAGACAGAAAAAATGTGATCGTATGACGTATTTACAAGACTTTAATACTTTTTCTGTGCAGTTACAAAACCAAGGCTAAGCAAGGCAGAAGCAGGAAGTGGGAAATATGTTGGTTCTAACCAATCAAAAATATGTCGGTTCAACCAATCAAAGCCTGCCAATCACCTCCCTCCATGACAACACAAGTGCATGAATATATCAAAGTCAGCCTTCGAAGCTCATCCTACAGAAAGTACTTCCTCTTCAAATGCATGTGATTACAAAGGAAAGTTTGTAATGGTGGAAAGTTCATTAGTGACTGTAAAAAGCTGGTCTAATTAACCTTCATGTTTTACTATTGTTATTTTATGACAGAAGTTTTCATATTCCTTTACAGCACAAGCTTCAGTGAAATAACTGCATATCAAAGACACTATGACCAAAATGTTAAAACACCCACTGACTTTCTTACCAACCAACCAACCACAATCTCTGTATTTTGATATCTATATTTTGATGCCATGTATAAATATTTGCCCTTTTATATCTCTTTCTCTTACGTCTGACAAAGAGGACTTGTCCATGAATGTTCACATTAAAAAACGTAACAGTTTGTCTTTTATCTTTTGTTTGTTCTTTTGCTTTTATTATTATTATTTTGTTTTTATCTGTAAAACAGACATGTAGTATGTTGTTTGGAATTCTTTCCCCATGTGTCCCTTTGGCCCCAGTCTGCCATCAATCTCAGCTGGCTGGACAGTAACCCTCCTCCTCAGTCTTTCCACTTAAACCCACCATTACCACTCTTCCTAACTCAAGTTATTCCCAATGAATGATTTACCTGTAGGCTTTGCACTTCAAACAACATGTAAGATGTTTAATGTATTTTCATGTACTGCATTAAGAGAGAGAGAGAGAGAGACAGGCCCAACCCAGGCCTTGTGCAAGAACCTAAAATGGCTGACAACCTTCTCTGGCTTTTCTGAGATTGCACCAGTGTTACATCACAGCCTCCTTCCTATTTCTCTAAAAAAACAACAACAACCAAGTGCCAGAAGACGGGATAATAATATTTAATTCTACTTCAAAATGGTCACATGCTACCACTAGGCCGCTTTGCAGACCTGGGCCACCCAACCTCTCTTAGCCACACCCTTTCCATCTATAAAGTGATTCTGACATTGATAAGAATGAGGGTAATTTTTATTTACAAACCTGGGCAAAAAGCAAAAACAAAAAAAGAGAATATGGTCTGAGTGTGAGGGACAATAAATTTTGCAGGAACTACTTCTGTCTGATGGAGCTTTTTGCTTTTTGGATAGACATGCCACTGCCTTCCAATCTTAGCAATACAGTACCTACATTCTGGGTTTATTAATTGCTTTTTTTATGAGGCAGTAGTAATTCCCCAGCAGAGGAAAAATTTAAAATGAGGGTAAACATGAATGAAGATGTCCCTTTTTCACATCCAAATAATTGTGATGACTTTCTTCATTGCCTGAAAAATAAAAGACAAAAAGGTGGATGTTGGCTGGTTAAAATGAATAGGCATTTTGGCTCATACTTTTATTTCTACAAGGTGTAAATACTTGCTCTTAAAAAAACATTAGCTGGAAATCTGGGGGATATGGATCATGAAGGGGATGCCCCTCGCCCCTGTCAAGACATTCATGCTTCTCTCTGACTTTCCTTGAACAAAAATATTTTGCTTTTTACTGTTCTCACTATTCCACCCCTCTTTGAACTTTCTGGCTCCCAGAAGAAACAAAAACAGCAGCAATTTTGAAATGAGGAAGAAAGAGAGAAAGAGGAAATTAGTGTTTGCAACAGCTGTTTTTTCCCCATGATATTGCCTTGACTCACTTTTTATGTTACTGCTATGCTCAGTGCTGCAACTTCAAAATGGCTTCAGACACTTCCAGATGCAGATTGGCACCAACATATTTTGCTTTGTACCTTTTGTGTGTTTTGTTGTGTTTCAAATTCCTGGATCTTTTTCTCCCCAAATCCTTCTTTGTGACTTTGTGGGTGGAGTTTAGTAGAAACGTTTTTCCCAAGCACTAGTAAACCAAAGGAGGCAAATCTACAGTAAACCTATGGAAAAGAAAAAACAACACACCTTGCCAAGTGGGTGAATACTGAAGAGTTTTCTCCCACCAGGACAAGACTCTAGCTGAAGCATCTAAAAGTTATTTAATAGACTTCTAAGCAATATAGAAAGATCAAAGAATAATCAAGTACATATTCAGATACAGGGCAAATTTTCTGTGACTCTGGAGAAGTTCAATTGATGTAGCATTTATGTGCATGCAATTTATGCCCCATAAATTTCATGCACATAAATGGTGTACAAAAGGTGTAGAAAAGAAGATGTAGCAAATGGCTGAGATAATGCTGTTGATGTAGCCTGTGTCAAAAAGAGCCTAATTATCTTAACATTTTGAATTGTTTTTAATTTTACCTGTAATCCATATATGTCACTAATTTTAAATTGTGCAGTGCTCTGATAAGGAATAAAGAAAGTGCTATACCACTTTCTAGGTATTAGATCAGTGCTGAAGTGCAGAGGTTTCTGGTTCCTCTATGACTGTAAGCTACTACTTACAGGAGGAGGAAGTCGTCCCTGCTTTAGACATAATCCCACAATCTCATCTCTTGAGCATCAGGTTCATCATTACACCCACACACACGCACACGCACACAAAAGCATAAACATGCATCCTCTTTGCAAATGCTTCCTTACGAGTGCTGCCATGATATTAGCTTGCCAGCTGCCCCCTTGCACTTTTCTCTTATTGAAATAAGAGATTCCCTTACCACCTCTATCACTTCCCAAATAAAAGCACCACCCCAGTAATATCCCAGTCTTCAGGAAAGAAAAGCTATGGTGATGTGTTGATGAGGTGCTAACATGCGCTGCAGTACATTAGCACTAGACAGTTGAACAGTTAGGGTACTAATCCTGATAAATCCTGTTACAGTAGTCCCCATCACCAAGATACAAAAACAGAAGCAAAAGGGGACAGAACAAATGATGGGCCTGGAAGAGTCTCCATCTGAGATGAAGATGGTATATGCTCTGCAAATTAGATTCCCGTTTAGCTATAGTGACCAAGTCAGAGGGAAGTAAAAGTGGAGAGTAGCCATGGCAGCAAGACTAGCATCAGCCAGGAGCACCTTGCTCAGGTCCTTCTCAACCCTAGCTCCTTCCAGGAGATGGGGCACTTTGCTTTCTTGTTTGATTTATGGGTCACATTTCTCCTGATAAGAGGACCCAAGGTGGCTCACAATAGTAAAAGAATAGAACTAAAAACAAAATAAATTAAACATTGAAAAACAAACTACTGTATACATTAATTAAAATTCATTTGAATAATTAAAAGCAGGTAAACGTTGAAAAGCTTTCTTGTTGACTTAAAAATGGCATTTAGGGACTCAATCATGATTGTTAAAAGCCTGCCTGCATAGATGGGTCTTCCACTGTCAGTGAAAGGGCAAAAGAGAGGGGACCAGCCTGATCTCCCAAGGGAGAGCATTCCATAATCTGCGTCCTGTCGCAGAGAAGGCCCTCTCTCATGTCCCCATTAACTGTTCCTGTACTGGCAATGGGACTGAGAAAAGGTCTCCCCTGACAATTTTAAATGTTGAGAAGATTCATATGGGGAGATCCAGTCCTTCAAGTAGTCTGGACCCAAGCCATATAGGGCTTTATAGGTAATGACCAGCACTTTGAATGCCATCTTCTTTAGCAGTCCTGAAAGCATACAAGAGAACTACATATGTTCACTTTGGTTATAGAATGGCTACAGCAAATGAAAGCAACATGTTGAATTTCCTCTGACATTTAGAGGAGCTGTTATTTCTCTTTTACCTAAATAAGAGAAGGGAGAGAACAGACAGCTGCTGTTTCTGACATTCACAAATCTAGCATCTCATCTCATTTCACCCTTAGCTGAACTGGCCAGTCTCCAGATCATCTTAGTTGCCTTCTTCTGCACCATTTCTCATTTTAAAATAGAAATGCAAACTCAGCATGTGTTTACTGACTCTGTTCAGTGGGATAAAAGGATTGAATAATTGCATTGCATTTATTGGGTTTACAGGGCAACATGGAATGAAACTCCCTAAAGAATGTGACGACTGTGAACACATTTGGGCATCCCTCCCCTGGGGAGTAAGAACACCCTGTCAGCAGATCCTTCTATTTTGGAAGCACCATTGGGCTACGTCTGACATAGGTTTACCTTTTGGACGTCCCCTATTTGGTTCAGTGGTGACAGCTCCATATTCTGTATTTGAGCTGGCTGAAGGCCTTGAGAATTCTGGCTGGGCCTAACCGCAGCTGCTCCATTGAGGGCACTTCCACATGGAGCATGTGTGCAGGTTTTTCCAACTTACTTATATCTTTAAAGATGCTGAAAGGAGGTTTACTGGGACTCATCTCTTTACAGTGGCTGTGTTGGTGCTGGAGCATGGTTGATGGTGGGGTGATGAAGACTGCCTAGCTTATGACTCACTGATAAGGCAGCAGGCTGTAGAATGTAAGCCCCTGGCAGCTCTGAGAGCCCACAGCCTTGTGATAAAAACAATCTTGTGGTGCACTACACCCCCCCCCCAGGTTGAGCAGCAGCTATACTCTAATAACATCTGTTTCTGTATAGCCTTAACAGTGGATTTCTATGTTGATGATCACCTGACTGTAGGTTCGTATATGGAGAGATGGGTGGCAGGAATGAGACAACCATCTGTTTGATTCTTCTTTCTGTTCATATTCATCTTCAATTGTTTGTTGGCTAATGAGACTAAGCATCAAGTTTATTTTCTATTTGATAAACATTAAGAGATGGATGACAACTGGCCCAATATCCCCTGTAGGTCATCTCATTGAGAAGCTGACTGCTCAATGAGGAATTGATCAGTTTTCCCTCTTCCCTCTCTATTTTATTTTGCCTAGTTTGGCTTTAGTGTGCCATGAGGGAGAATGCTGCTGCTGTTGCTGATGATGATGATGAAAAACAATCACACAGTATTATAAGCAGTTGCAGATCTCAGAAATAATATAATCAGATGTACAAAAAACAACAATATTAGGAACAGCATGCATAGTGCACAGATATTTAACAGATGCTTAGGGGTTTTTTTTTTGTTAAAACTTGTATATGTTATATAATACCAGTCAATGTTTTTATTATTTTGATTAACTGTGCCTAGTATTTTGTAATTTTTTAAAATCATCATCATCATCATCATCTTAGATCTGTAGACCTGGAAGGGACCCTATGGATCATCAAGTCCAGCCCCTGTCAAGGAGGCACAGTGAGGAATTGAACTCCCAGCCTCTGGCTCTGCAGCCAGAGACCTAAGCCACTGAGCTATCATGCTGCTGAAATGGAAAATATGGGTCCAAAAGGTTTTTCCCCCATTTTGTAGATCCTCCCTTTCCACTGCTTCCCATTTATTATGTCAACATCCCTTGACCTCTTGGCTGCCATTGTTTGTTCTCTGCTCGACTGTGGGCATTAGGTACTACTGCACTGTCACATATTCAGACATATGGGTACCTACAGCTCCTTTTTCTTGTTCTATCTCAAAAATCACACTAGGTCTGATGTCCATCAATATGTTGTATCTCTTTTATAGTAATTCTCTTTCTCTACCTAATAATTTGTTCAAAGGAAGAAAGATTTCTAACAGCGCTAGTTTCTCTAATTATATCTTGTATAAAGCGTCTGATCTGTAATTATGGATGGAATGAAAACAAAAATTAGATTTTTGCAATAGCTGAACAAATGAAACCATAACACCTTGAGATTCGACATCTGTAGCAGCTGCTATTTTCTTATTTTTCCAGGTAGTATAATCACCAGCTCTTTTGCTTCACTAAATCAGGAATTATGGATTACAGGAATTAACTCTCATTAAACCAGATGGGATTTTCATCCCTTAGTCATGTTTTGCTGAAGAATCGACACAAGGCAGACATTTTATGAGGCTGTGTCATAGAAGAATTGTGAACAGTTTCCCTGAGTTTTACCCAATTACTTATCTTTTTTTTTGTAATAGACAAAAAATTGCTGGGATGAAAAATGCCCCATACCATTTTTGGTAATTCATGATGCCAAGAAGCAGAACTGACCTAGAGATGGCGGTATTTGTATACGAATATGAATATCCCTCAGGCTTCCAATCACTCCCAAAGCCCTGCTCTCTTCCTGCTTGGTTGGCCACTCGGCAGCCATACAGGGAGACTCGTGCTCCCTCCCCTCACCTGGAGTGGCTAGCCGAGTGCGAAGACAACAGCACTCCTGGAGTGATTGGAAGGATGAGCGAGGCCACTGCCAGTGGCAGACATGTGAGTGGATGGTCTGGCCCCAGGGGCTGGACCCTCATTACGTCCAGCTGTGTGGGGATATTCGTATTAGTATAGAAATACAAATACCCCCATCTCTGCGATGACATGGTTATCAGTAGGGTGGGTCCCTCTGGGGATGAGGAGGGAGGCAGTTGATTCTGGAAATACAAGACATGTAAATTTAACTTGATCATGCCTTTTTTGGCAACCAGCAATACATGGAAATACTTGTGGGGTCAGCAATACCCCAGAACATGCTCAACAAAAGTGCTTATTCTTTTCTAAATCCATAGGGGTGAGGATTAACATAAACCAGGTTTCAGGACATATCTATTTTTCTTCATAATATAATTCCTAATTGAATTATATGGTGCCTGTCCAGGTAATGACTGAGCTGGACCCCTTTTGTCAGTGATGTGTCAAACACATCTTATTCTTTCTACCAAGATGACAGTAAGTGAGGTATCTGGAAACACTACTGTGCCACAGCAAATAAAAAAAATCTGCTAGTTGTCATTTAAGAGAGTATCCCTGACTTAATAAAGACTCTTTGGCCAGATTCCATTTGGAGTGGAAGGCAGTCACTTTACCAACAACTCCAGCTCTCTTTTGTATGTCTGGGCTCACACGGATTCCAAGATCAATTGTGTCACGGTTCATGTGATCAGTCACATGATGACTGCCAAAGTGTGGAAAACACAATCTCTGCTCTGAATACGATACTGTGCTTTGTGATTTAGAAGCTATAATCTGGGTGGCTTCATGATGTATGACTGAAAATTGTGAGAAAGTAAAATAGTATTTTCTTTTTAATCATTGCAATTCTCGCCAGGTAATTTGCCCCAATTCTATAGTTTCTGTTTAACACTCAGAATCATTTAACACAATAATAATCTTCAACCTAACCTATAAATATTGTAAGGTATGATATATTTCTAGATATATTATATTTTCAGTTGTGTGTTGTGTATTTTAATCCAGTAATAATTTTATTCCTTTACTTTTGACAGGCTTATACATTTAATGATAGATGTCAAAATCCTGTTGCTGATTTACACCTATATGAAGGAAATCACATAAGTCTTGGAGACAAATTGCTGCTCCATTAATAAGGTGCTGTTTCTTTTCCCAGGCACACACATGATTGCGCAATAGTGTGTGGACCTAGGAACACAACCGGTTTGTTTGTTTGTTTGTTTGTTTGTTTGTTCATTCATTCATTAGATTTCTACCCCACCCCCCCAGACAGTTGACCATGTCAAGTTTTATATAATTTTCCTATACAAGCACAAATTGACAATAGGATTCTAGCTAGAATTTCCACCCTTCCAAAAGGCCTTGTCTTGCTCTCCTAATCATAAAATTGTTTCTCTACAACTTAAGGGTGAATTGGCCTTTAGATTATTGCAAGTACATTAACTGATATGATTTGGATCTCTCTTATTTAAACAGTGGGTTAAACTAGACATCAAGAGGAGCGCATAATGCTAAGGATTAATGTAATTTTCTTCTCACAATGGGGTTTCCTCAGAGATACAAGCCTCAATCAAACTGGACAGTTAAACCTGTGTTTTCTGTCTAATGACCGATCACAAGGCAAAGCATGCAAAATATAAGAAATGCAATCAAAGAAAATAGTGTTATAATAACATACATTTCTTCCCACTTGAGAGAACACATCTTTTAAATCCACGCTCAAACATATTACCTAGTTTGAACTAGTATGTTCCAGTTCCTGACAGAGGTTGTCAAGCTTTTGCAATATATCTTCTAAGTTACTAGCTTTTTCTCTAATCTTAGCAGCCATTGTTGCTTTGGCTCCTTTTGCTAAATGAAGGGCATCTTTGACAATGCAGTAAACACTGAACAGGAGAATTGCTGCAGCAGATATACCACCCGCCACGCGGGCTCCTTTGCTTATAGCAAGGGCATTTCCTTTAAATACATGATCTACATTATCAGTCCATTTAACTGAAGTCTGAATTGACCTTCTTATAGCAGAAGTAGCTCCCTTTCCTAATGTCTTCAAGGCAGGAGTCACTTCCAGATTCTCAAATGCTTTAACATCTGCCATGATTTCCTTCACACTAGAAGCCAGTTTTGGAATTTGACTAGTGTCGGATATGCAACAATGGAAGTTTTCTATATTGGCCTTTTTGTTTTCAGGCAATCCAGAGTGGAAGGGAACTTCACTGAGTTGTATCATCCTTGTTAAGCTCTCCTTGCATCTGTTAATTCTTTCCTCACATTTGTTGATCAGCTCTTGGGCTTTCTGGCTCTTCTCGGAATTAATAAAACGCTCACACACATTAGCAGAGACGCCTGTTACTGCTGCTGCTGCCCCCACACCGATCCCCGTGGCTGTCAGGATTAAACTCGCACCTGCTGTGACAGGCATCAAGGCCATGCCTAGGATGGTCAAGATGCTGGATGTGGCACCTGCAGAACTCGCTGTAATGGTGGCGATGGTGCAGTCCTTATGGATCTTGTCAACATGGTCTGCCATTTCCCGAATGCAGCTGATGCACTTCTCAATTTCTTTCCTCTGAGCAGGAAATACTTTCAGAAAATGGGAAACCGTTTCATTGTCATCTTCCTCTAAAGGCCAGTTTCCACCCTGTCTGTGATAAATTAAAGGAAAAGGGAATTCCAGGGTGAACATGAATTAAAGGGCAGCAGTTGCCAAGCCATTCCCTACATCCTGGATGATGCAACCTCCATGATGAAGGCTGACAGGTTTAAAAATAAATCAAAGAATGTTTATGATTTAAAGGGCAGCAGTTGCCAAGCCATTCCCTGCATCCTGGATGATGCAGCCTCCATGATGAAGGCTGACAGGTTTATGATGTGTACCCATGCCAACCCATAGGGAATTACACTTACCTTTTCCTTTAAAATGTTATCAGGCTACAATCCCAAACTTATTTACTTGGGAGCAAGTTCTATTGACCAGTTTGGTGTAGTGGATAGAGTGATGGACTAGGATTCTGAAAATAAGGGTTCGAATCCCCTCCCAGTCATGGGGAGGGGATTTGAACCCTCTTACCAGTTCCACTGGGGGAGTGGAACTGGTAAGAGCACTCTTTAAATATCTCACTTACCCTGGAAGTCCTATTAGGATCGCTATAAGTCAGTTCCAGCTTGATGACACATAACAAGAATCATCAACAAATCTTACTGAATTTAGAAAGATTACTCATAACCTTAGGATTCCTCTGTTACTCTATTTCATTGCCCAGTGAAATAAAAGTATAAACACATTGTATTTGTACTGGGCCAAAGGATATGGTCTGAAGGATATAATCTGACATATAAACTTACCGGGACAAAAGGGTTTGGATTTGATCATACCAACATGACCAACACCTAGAAACACTGTGTATGCCATCTTCATTTCCACCATGGAAACAAAAGGATATAGAAATAAAATAAATAAGCAGAAGATGTGACCTTGTGGTGTAGGGTGTATTTACTGCTAGAAGGGTGCAGAAATTAAGGATGACAGTTAGACAATGCAATCCTGGATGCATCTACTTAAAAGAAAGCCCTGCTGAGATTTGTGGGACTTTTTCCAATGTAAATCCACATCTAGGATTGTATCCTAAGCCCTGGCTTTTGTTTTGTTTTGTTTGTTTTTATTTGGTCCTGGAGCTTCTGTGAATATCACACTGCAAGTTACAACGGCAACCAACTGGAGATATAAATCATGATGTGGTTCGTCTTCTCACACTAGATTAAAAAGGGAGGGGTTTGAAAACAGTTTTGCACATTAGCAAGACTGATTTTGGTTTGAAACATTTATATACCACTTGGTCTACAAAACAGCACTGTTAGCTTTTAGTTATCTACTAAACATTCTTGCATGTCCTTTTATGTGCTCAGGTCAGGGGTGGGGAGCATGAGGCCTTGGGACTGCATCTGGACTTCTTTAGGGGTCAGTCTAGGCTACCCCAGCTGGCTATGCCTGCCTTCTTAGGCCTGGACTACTACTGGAATGCAACTCTCAAGACTTCAAAACTGAATTTGAGCCTTGGCTTGGTCTACAAAACAGCACTGTTAGCTTTAAAGTGGGTCTGCTTAAAGTGGATCTGCACCTTTGCTCCAGGTCTTACATGTCACCAGATTAATTTGTTTAAATGGATCTATGCTTTTGATTCCTGACTCCGGGCAGAGCACAGCTGACAAATAAAGCTAAAGGCAGACCCAGGAATCTCGCGACCAGAGCTCACGAACAGGAGAGCAAACAGGGAGTTTGCCGAGGAAGGCCAAGGGGGAGGCCCCTAACAAATTTTTTGGGTTTCTTGGGTATACATACCACTACATTTAAACTAACAAAACAAAAAGGACAGGTATCCTAAACAAACAGTTAAAAGTCATAATGCTAGAAGGGATTATGGAGGGTGGAGGCAATTCACTTGTTTACAAAGTTTGTGCTATGTTTGTCTTTGTTCCTGAGTGTAAAATGCTGTATACATGTAACAAATGTAAACTTGTGGCACTGTTAGATGAGAAAGTCAGAGACCTGGAGCAGCGAGTAGCCACACTCAAGGCTATAAGGGAAGATGATGCCTACACTGAAAGAGCTCTTGAGCAGCAGCAGCTGTCAGAGGGGCCACTACTGATGGAAGAAAACCAAAAAACATTGCAGTGGAGGAAAATGCGGTAGAGGCTACAAACATAGTGGAGGAACTACCATGGAAAATAATCACAGTTCAGAGCAAAAGAAGTCGAAGACACTCTTTCCCAGTGGAACTACAAAACTGCCTTCAGTTACTTGAAGAAGAGTCTGTCAGACAGCACACAGAGGAGAACCCACATGAGTAGGACTGAAGCACAGCAGAATACAGTGGCTGAACCCACACCCTACGTAAAGAGGAAGAGGAGAGTAGTTGTAGTAGGGGACTCCCTACTACACAGAGACCAAAATATGTTGGGAGGATCCATGGACTTGCCAGTTATGCTTTCTCCCTGAAGGATGGATAAGGGATGTGACGGAAGGATTGCTATCCGGACTTGCCAGGTATGCTGTCTCCCTGAAGGATGGATAAAGGATGTGATGGAAGGATTGCTATCCCTCAAAAAACTTACAGATACATATCCTTTTCTTCTTGTCCATGTGAGAACAAACGACACAGCCAAGAGGAGCTACCGAAAAATGATGTCTGACTTTGAAGCTCTGGGAAGGAAACTCAAGGACTTTGGGGCCCAGATAATTTTTTTCTTCCATCCTACTTCGATTCCTCAGAAGAGGAATCAAAAGAGAAAGGAAGATCCTCTGGGTGAATGGCTGGCTACAAAGGTGGTGTCGACAAGAGGGATTTGGGTTTTGGGACCACGGGCTAAGCTTCCTGGAA